TACAAGGCGTTAGTATAGTTTTTGGTATAATAGTCGGATCTGGAATATTTGTGTCTCCGGTTGGTGTCCTCCAGTACTCCCAGTCCGTCGGCCTTTCCTTTGTTATGTGGATAGTTACGGGACTGTTCAGTTTATTGGGCGCCATTGTGTATGCTGAGTTGGGTGTTCGAATCCCTAAGTCCGGCGGCGAATACGCATATTTGCTGGAGGCCTTTGGTGGTTTACCCGCATTTATATGTATGTGGGTATCATTCGTTGTCATCGGAGGCGTGAGTTGTGCCGCCAACTCTATCGTCTTTGCACAATACATGCTGCAGCCATTCTATCCGGGCTGTGAACCGTCGAAAGTGGTAGTGCAGATTACTGCTATGCTTTGTCTTCGTAAGTTGCAGTTTATTTAACTTTCGTCCTAGTACTTATATGCGCGATAAACGCTTACAAAGTTAAATGGGCCACAAGAGTAGCAGTCGTCTTTTCCACAGGCAAAATTATTGCCCTTCTCCTGATTACCGGATTTGGTGTATATTACTTGGCCACGGGTATGTATCCTGTTTTCTCGCCATATACGTCTTTTGATATTTGCCTTTCCGCCTATATTCCTCTTCACGAAATCCAAAATTTCTTGCAATATTTTATACTTTCCCTGGTTTCTTTGTTCATCTAAGTACGTGTAAAGAATCCAGTCAAGTTCGTCGAGTTGAACTAGTGTGTCGCTTTTTTATTAATCTAAATAAATACAAGTCCGCAAGGTTTTGTTTGCCTCTTTGTGAAAGTGGAAGACAATTGTCTGTATAACGTCTTTCTTAACCATTCAAAGTTTTTTTTTAAATTCGTCATGTTTTTGTACTTATTTCATATCCTAATACTTACTGATTAGCAACGGGAGAACTGGTAGTATTTCACAAGGAAAGGAACAAAGCACAAGGCTGAGCGCAGCAAGGAACATCTATTTTCGTTTTTATGTGTCTCAATTCACCCAAAATGACATCAGTTGGAAGCTGAATAAAATAAGTTCTTCTTGGCAGATCAGATCAGTTTATTTATTTCTCTATTTTAGGGCATCTGGAGAGCTTTGAAAACCCTTTTGAAGGATCGGCTACATCACCAGGCTTACTTGCACTAGCATTTTATCAAGGTTTTTGGGCATTCTCGGGCTGGTGCGTAACCACAATTCACAATTGTCCAGTTTTTACATAACGTAACTTTTCCAACAATTATTCTTCTACTACATTATTTGAGGAAAGTTTGTTCCTCATAATATTTTGACTGAAAATCAGTAATTTTCAGATTATGAAGCAAAATGTACTTTGATTTGTACCTTGATTTTTGTTTCTTTGAAAGAACATTTACTAACACCCGTAGAAACTTGCTTCACTTATCGACTGAGCTAAGCTTGTCCATCTGTCGTCATATAGGCGCTTTTCTGCGGTGCTCTTCTCTCTCCCGACCTTAAACGGCAAAGCTACTCTTCCTTAACTCAAAAGGAATCCTTGTATCTCGAAGATGGATCCCGACATGTGTTAAATTACACGAAAATATGGTTTTTTCCTACCCGAACAACCTATAGGCATGGGTTACTTGTGACCCTTGACGTTTATATTGCTGAATTTTAATATATGGCTGTTCAATTACAAGAATATGGAGGACATTTTGAGGTTTCGAGGTTTTCACTGATCCTCCAACTTTCTGTTGACAGTTCGACTATGTTCCTTAACCTGCTTCCATTTTTTTTCGTCAAATCAACTTCATTACATTGTAGTAAGTAGTGGGGCTTGCAGTAGCACTCCGGTCCCTACTTTTTTTATTCTTCACGAGACGTCCTATATTTCACTTACTGCGATTATCTGTATGTTACTAATAGTCAAATTAGCACATTTGTAGATCATGCTTGGGGTTGGTTGTTATTTCGAGGGTTTTTTGGTAGCTCTACCCGCTCTACTTACGAATAGGTAGGTATTAAATCCTTATGACTATCCGGAAGAAAGTATTTCGTATACCGCCTGCTAACGTGGCAATCGTTTGCGTCATTGTTATAGACATGAATAGGCCAGAAAATATATTGTGGTTGTCTGTAGTAATTTTGAACAGTTTATTCGACGATAGCATAACTTTCTTTGGTGTTACGGGCGTTTGAAACAGACTTCCATAAAAGCTTAATACGGTATCG